CCCCGCATTTATGCAAATGATTAAGCCATCCTAGTATACCTAATTTTCATGATATTCAAATAAATCTTCCTGCTTTAGTGCCTCTTGGGTATAGCATCCTGTCAGAAGGAGTTCTGTGAATCAAGTTGGCTATTTCCACTGAAGAAAGCTTTGACTTCTTTTATTGCGTGGTTGTCTGATCTGTTTCAAGGACTTTTCAAAAGGTCTTGCTGATGTGTTTCCTCCAAGTGAAATCCTGCTATCTTTTTCCACTGTTTCTTTTATAATTTTTCTTTCCTGAGAAGAAGTTGAGAAATAGATGGAATACTTGTAACTTTTGATTGCTAGTCCAAAAGGCCTTTGTCTAAATGCATTTATTCACAAAGAGAAATAGGTGAGACCTTTATGACCTATAATTCTGGGTGGGAGTGTATGAGCCTCTAATTGAAATATGAGTAAATATGAGTCTCCTCTTCACAGAATACCTTTCAGCACAAGTAGAGCAGGCTCATCTGTTGGCACCTGTTAGTTTGTTGCCTTCCAAAGGAACAAATGTTATGGATAAAATACCACTGTAGCAGGACCATCTGAGCTTTTCTTTCTGAAGATCTAAGTGTCCAAGTTGAGAAGTCTATTTCTGTATTTTGAGTATATGAACTTTTAAAAATATATATATAAATAGGCCAAAGAATTGTCATATGTTTCTAAAAAAGATTTCCTAACATGTTCCTTTAGAGAAAGCATAGTCAAGATAACACATTTTCAAATAATGCAATCCACTACATTTTTAATTTGAAGTAAAATCTTTGTATGTCCAGTGGAAATTATTCAAAGATAATTCTGCAAGGTTGTAGTTAAAAAAGTATTTACCAGGAAGGAAGAATATAATTTTTTCCCCCCAAAATTGATAATACAATAATGGAGGCAGTTAAGTTGGGTGGTGTTGTGGGGGAATTACCATAAATCAGAATCATCTTACTTTTGAGTAAATACAGAAGCTTGTGTTCTGAGGGGCTGAAGGCTGAAGGCCCCCCAAGAATTCTTCAATATTTTGTCTCTCACATTTCTTTTGTTCAAATAATTTTCAGTCTTTCTAAGACAGGGCCTTCAAAACTAACAATTGTCATGGTCCCTGGTTGATACTGCTCTCTTGAATAGTGCCACTTCAAAGGTATAGATCATTATGGAACAGTTACCATTAGAAATTGTTGCCCCTCAGCTACACCGGGACATAGAATGGAGAACTGGAGCTTTGTACATCCTTCTCAAGGGTCTCTGACAAGTCAATGAGATTCACTTCTAAAATGATAAATCTGCAAGCAGATCTCTTTGGCACCCAAATAATTTAAATACTATTTTATCTTATGAAACGTGCACAAAATATGTTTAGTCAAGTTTTTCTTGACATTCTGTCCTCCCTCTTGAAAGGCAGTAGAATCAGATTTCAGTATATCCAGTCATCCAGGTTAGGAGGTAGTACTTAATAAGAGGAAATTATGATGGAAAGACAGAATAATTTCAAGACAATTGCAACATAAGCTACCTTTGGCAAGAGTTGCTGAACATTTGAGATTCCTAGAAAGAAGATACTTGCCCATTGTATCTACTATTTAAGGGACGGTTGAGCAGGTTCCAGAAGTTGCTTGTGATGAAATATTTGTAAAATGTAAAATCCATAATTTGCATGTGTAAATTATGGAGCAAACTTCATCTATTATTCAAATATATGCAATCATATTCTAAAAATTAGAATGTCCATTCTACAATTTCCTTTGTGAGGAGGACAAAGGACTGCATAATCTTCATGAATTGTTCCTTTTGTTCCACTAGGAAGTTATACATAGTTTGTGATCACTGTAAAGATACCCCCAATGGGAAGGAATATCTGTTCTGATGAAAATGCTATCTGACATGCTACACAAAACAATGCATTTTATCCACCAGTAGGAAGCATAATAAGGCCAGTGATTTGTAGAACAAAATTTAGGTCCAAGGGAAAAAGATTTATTAAAATATGCAATAATCAATTTCCATGGGGATACGAGACAGAAACTACCTCTGACTATATATGTGTGTAGGATTGAAACACCATGCTCTAGTTGCCCTAGCTTTTGTTACTGAAAAGAAAATGTTAAAGAACTAAAATAAGCATTTCTACCACAATGTCCCAACATGCAAATTTGAATCTTAACTGAGTTGTCAGAATAATAACAACTAAATAGAATTGAAATTTATTCTCAGAGAAACTATCACAAGACTCAGCTTCTTATATTGCCATTTTAACCAGAGATCCTAGTTCTATCAGTCAGCCAAGCATAGATAGAAAATCACTATACAGGTAGTCCTCGTTTAGCAAGCACAATTGGGACCAGCAACTTGGTCATTAAGTGAAATGGTCCCTAAGTGAAACCACAACTGTGCTTATGATTTTACTTCAGTTTTCCTTTGCTTCACACACCTGTAAAGGTCATAAATGTGAGGACTGGTTGCAAAGTTACTTTTTCATCACTGTCGTAACTGTGAACAATCGCTAAATGAGTCAGTTGTT